TATATATTTTTTTTTATATATACATTTTTATATATACATATATTACCTGGTTTAATAAAAACCTGTATAAGGTTCTATATGTAGCCAATCCTTGCAATAGTTTGTATCATCTAATTTTTTTATAAATTCAAATTGGACTGGTACCTAGTTCATAAAATATTAAGAATAAAAGTAAAGATTTTGTTTGTGCCTTCCATCTTGTTTACACACATACATGTATCATACATGCAAATATCAATTAATTGATTTACCTGGCCTGTATTAGCGATAATAAGTTCTTTACTACTAGGTTCAAGAAATTTTAAAACATCAAAAATAATATCAGTGGTATCAACCATTACTTGAGGTAAGAATTCATTCTCTAATTTATCTAATTTTTTCATTACTTCCTCATGGATTTTACGATACTTAGCCATGTCTATAATTCGTATCTATTATGGAAAATTAAAATATAAAATTGTATAATGAAATTAAATTTCCTTCAAACTAAGTATGTAATTATTAAAAAAAAAAGAAATTATTTAGTATTGATATACGTAACTCACCTGAGATTCAAAACTGGCACTAACTGGCTTATGATCAGATATTTTTAACTGTGGATAACTTTTATAATTAATTGATTTAATCATATCTCCTTTCCATAATATTCGATCACACCAAGCAGGAGCTCTACATTTCTCACTATTTATCATTAGATAGAAATATAAAAAAAATCATTTAAGAGCATTCAATCAAATCTTGCTTAATGAATGTAAGTTACGTTTCGAAAATTTTTAATATACCTTGAATCCCAGTTGTCGGTACCTGGATCATATTTGTACGTGGGTTTAAAATCAATTTCGGCTTCTCGAAATCCTTGAAATACACGACCTGCTTTGCGTTGTTGTCCAAGTTGGTCTAATGCTAAGATAGGACCATAATTGCCTTCTGAAATATGTTGCTTAGCTGTTGCAGCATCCATATCCGTTATGCGATAATTTAAATCTCCCAACCAATAGATCTGGCTATAAATATATATATATATATATATATATATTCTTACATACATATGCATATATATGCCAATATGCATACTCGCGTCACACACGTGCACATACACATACATACACAGTATTCGATTTAACTTGCTACATTACTACTTCAGAAAACTGGATTTAGAAACGAAAGATAATACAAATCTCTTCAACGGGATTGCTTTGAGATGATTTTTATCGTAATGGAATTATATTCATTTAAAAAAAAATTTTAAGAGAACGTAACAAAATTTGAGTAATAAAATTTTTTTAATGGAAATCTCCGACAAAAAGTATAAAAGCATCCTAAACTAGCATTTTAGACTTCGTCTCTTTATTTTTAAATTCGTGATTTTATCAATAACAGATTTACTATGGAAAATTAATAAATTCTATTAATAAATAATCGATACTGAAAACGAATTTTTTTCGAAATTACTTTTTCAATTAGCAGTGTCTATAACTAAAACAATTTTTAACCGATTAGTTTCAAATTTCAAGAATAACTTCACAAAATAAATAGTTTCAATTAAAGATTTTTAATTCTTAAATTTCTGAGAAAAAGATGTCAAAGTTTAAAGATGTCAAAATCTTGAGAAATTTTGATTTTTTTTTCAAATCGTTATTATTTTGTAACCAAATTACTAAAAAAAATTCCTACGCTTGACTGAAACTAATTCTATTTTCAAAATTTTCAAAAATTGTTCATTCCCGATTACAACTTGAAATTTTTAGGCCGCTGATGGACCATGTTTTTAAAGAGGTTTGCTGTGCAATAATATCACATATATTTATATTTTTACGTATAAAAATTCTTAAAGTTTCTTCAAAATTTACTCAATCAACATACTAATATTTTTTCTAAGACTTATAGTTATTTAAAAAAAATTCCCAAAAAAAGATTTTTTGGGCCTATACTCGCTTAAGATAATGTTAAACATAAAATATCACATTTTAAATATGATTTTTTCATGATTAAAATCTTAAGATCTTAAGATCAACATATTCTATATATTTGGATTTGTTTTCTATGAATTACATTACTATGTTAATGAAAATATGCTATCCCATTTAAAAAAAAATGTTAATGATGTTGAAATAATCGAGTTACAAGAAAATCTTATATATATAATATCATAAAAACTTACTCGTGGTCTTTGAAACTTTTAGGTGGTACATATTTTGTAAAAGATAATCTCGCACAAATATCAGCATAATCTTGATTCCGCCGTTCAAATTCTTCACAATGTGCAGCTAAATGGGCATTAACAAAGCAGATAGATGTATTATGAATACAACAACTTACTGCAACGCCACCTTTATTACCCTATAAGAATTACTAATTAAATATTAGGATATCAAAATCAGTATC